GCTGTGCACTCATTTCTTCACAGTAAGACGGGCCGCAATTGCAGACTCAGGGGCGGATCTTCAAAAATCGGGATTCTGAATGTTCTGTGATGTTCATGACGAGAGCGTGTTCCTTATTGCAACTGCGACACGTCTCGAAACAGAACACGTGTAAGCTTCCCTTTAGTCCACCTCACCTAGTGTTCGTAAATGCATACAATGCTAGAATTAGAGGCGTAGAACAAAATAATCAATAGCGTCAGATGAGACGTGACATTGATTTTTTCAAGGTGTTCGCGGTGTTTTACCTAAACTACCTAAACTTTGAGAGGGTAAGGCCTTATGGAAGAAGTTGAAGGGGCCACCAAAAGGAGTTCCTTCGAAACGTACTATTAAAAGATGATTCTTCCACAGATTTTTTAGGAAAAATATCTGAGGTTTTGGAAAGGATTCACTCCGCCGCTCTTTCCAGCACGGTCCACTGATTATTGGAGAATTAGATGATGGACAGATTGAGGGAGGGGTGGGGGAGGGGGAGAATAAAACGATTTTAATTCCGTTCGTAGTGGGTATGGCGCTGCCAACAAGGAGCAGCTGATATCAGCTGCTATGGATGAGAACCTTCCTATTTCTCTGCTAACAATAAGGTGATGTTGTATCAAACGGCACCGTTTACCACACTCGCTCGAGAAGGTTAGGTCTCAGATGGAATCCCGCTCCTGCTAACCTTTTTTTTCACCAGTGCAAATCACTGTGTACACCACGTTGCATCCAAACGTCACCGCGTTCGGAGCAGAAGTTGAATGCGCGGCGCATCCAAAAAGGCGTGATTACAGCCGAACCCTCCATCCTTTTCAACACTTCATTTCTATCCATCCGATGTAGTACTCTTTAGAGAATGATTATTTACTTATTTATTCATTTGTTTATTTGTTCATTTATTTATTTGTTTATTATTGTTATTTATTATTTTATTATGTTTTGTTGCATTTTAGTGAGCTGCTACGTTATCATAATCATCCATTTCTTCACAAATAATCACTCTTTGGATGGCGGAATACCTGTTGTTTATGATGCATCGAATGCGACAGAGCACCACTCGAACACCTCGAACGCCTTGGAAGGACTAGGAACGCCTTCTTACTGATGATCTTGATGATCTTTGACTTCTTCAAGCATACCGTTATACACATTTAGGTTCTCATTCAGTAAGAGGGGGCACGTGGTACAGTTGCTGCTGCCTACAGAGATTCCAATTTCTGCATGGGGATTAAAGCTACTGGGTACGTGAAACATTTAGCTTTCGCTTTCAAATGAACGCCAGAGGTTCACCTCCTGCGAAAAATTGGATTATTTTGGGCGATATGAACTGTCGCACCACAAGCCTTTCCCCCTTACTGGATAAGACCCCACTTCCGTTATTGTAGATGATTTCGGTGAATTCACGGTTTTCCAGTTGAAATAGACGACCTGATACCGTACTTCGGTTATATATTATGTCGGGATATTGAGTGTACGGAACAATAAATGGTTTCTCCTGAGAGCAACTTGTTTCCCTGAAAGCAACCAGAAAGCCGTCTCAAATTGACTCCTTATGACAGAGATTTAACAAATATATACTGAGGTGGCAAGAAAATCCTACGTTCCAAGCCGGGTAAACGAAGTAGATATAGCTCTTTCACTGACTACGCTCGGGGCGTTTCTCCTAGATCCCTTTTTTGCACCTTTTGCGAGTTGTACGTTTTTGAAGTATAGGTAAGTTTACACGTTTGACCACAACGTTATCAGCTAAAGAGATTACTGGAAGTTGTCCAAATAGTAGCTAGGGCTGAGCCTACGACTGCAAAGAAACGCCGGGGGGGGGCGCATGAAAAGAGTTGAAGCGGCGGCAGCTCCTCCCTTAGGCTTACCATCCATCATTAAGCCGAACAATAATGAAAGGAAATAGCGCGGTTTCAAACGCGTTCGGCGTTCCGCAGTGCAATTCCCGCTCCTCCACCCCTTCCCCCTCCTGCCCCTTTCAGGGACCTTGCCTAAGTATAAACGTGGTGCATGGTACCACGAATGATTTGCAGACAGCTTCGATACAACTGAGACAATGTTCATGTGTAATTTTAATAACGAATGGACAACACAATATTTGACTAAAAATATCTGCACAAATCTCGTTCACACCAGAAGAGAGCGGCGACAACGCGCGACATTTTCGATCTACGAAAAAATCGATAATTAATGATGAAACTGACATAAAACCGTAAGGTAATGCATAAGATGCGGCGACAAGACATAGTTATTCGGAAACGTACAATGTGACTCTTCTAGGAAACATCCGTGACTAAAATGTGCTATCTTGGTAACTAATCGATATCGATTGGTTTTTATTGATTGATTGTGCGTGGAAAAGCAGAAAAGAATTAGGTGGTGGCAGGGTGGATGACGGCCGGAGAGGAGTTTGACGACGACACAAACAACCGGTAGCGCATAGACAGACAGGAAAGCAACATGGGCTTGGGCAGAGAACCAGACAGTGTCGCGGCGCGGTCTGCGGGCGTACGCGACACAGAGCGCGCTCTGCGAATGTATAGATGAACACAAATGCACCATATGAAATGAATAGATATCGATCGACGAGACAGTGAACAAATATATTATATAATAATAATGATGATGATGTGGAATGATTTCGACTGTTGGTCTGAATCGTATTTGGCATTGCTTGAGTAGAAATCCCTAGAATTCGGAACACGGACGGGCGACAAATCAATAATACATTAATATCTAGACGTTCGATGTGTACAAAGTTAGTTTTCGCACACGCGACGCAGAACCGCCCACTTGCGTCGCGTGTCGACTTTCGATGATGATCGATAATCGATCAGGCGACCAATCGGAAAATCGAGCAATTCGCTTCGGGAAGATCGTTCACTTCGAACACGAAACCGATTACCATAAGTGTTTCGCCAGTGGCTTGATTGGTGACAACCTAAATGCACACATTATCGATTTTGTTCATGGGTAGGACATGAGAGTCAGGATCTAAACAGATTCAGAAAATATCGATTTTGTAAGTTTGGCGGAGGTGGTGCTGTGGCAACAGGCACCACTTTCAGAGGGTCAAATCGATCCGAATTCCACATAGCCAATTAGGACACATAGGATTCCTGAGCCTTTGCCTTACATATAGCACACCCGTTTGGGAGGACAAAAGCAATGTTATGACGACTACTCCCCCTCCCCCCCCGCAGTCCAAATTTGCATTGATCAAAATTCCACACACGATTCTGAGGTGGAGTAGAATGCGTCGGCGCATCCCAAAAGGATCAATCCAGGACGCCGACTGTTCATCTACTTTGGATCCATGAAGGCGGTGGACCAGCAAGTTGAACGCGGTGAATGATGGTCGCACTGCTTACAGAGAGAGGAAGCTTTGGGAATGATCGAAAAGAGGGAAGTGAAGTAGTTCATGCACCTCCGGGATTTTCTCCCACAAGAAAATTGGAATTACTGTAGGCGGTACGACCTATCGCACCACATGATCCACCTCCATCCCCCCCCATTGGAATTGGAAAAGACCACTGTAAAAACCAAATTACTGCATGAGTACGGTCTCAAACAGAGAGATTCTGGTTCGTGATTGATTACGCTAAAGAAACATTGCACAATCTACAAAATCTGAAACCGCAAAACTCATCCTAGGTCGATTTTACAAAAGAAGAAAGAAGAAGTTCAAATTAAATACCTGAAGGACAGTGAAGTTCTCGAGCACGTTGTTCATGTAATCACGTGATTCGAGTTTTTTCAATTCCGAAATGAATTTCACCATGTACTCGCAGATTGGTGAACGTTCCAGTCGGAATGAGTAATGGCCGTTCTCCTCATCAGGGGAATATACCTGAAATGAAGGATTTTTTCACAAATTTGGTGGACAATCGCGATTTTTCGGGTCCCGTGGAGCATTTAATCGAGGCATATCCTTATGATATCTCATTATTACTCTCATTGATATCACCTATTGAGGAACCTCTTAACCTCACTTCGACGACCTCATTACCAAATGAGCAGACCTTCGTTGAAACGCTGATGTCGAACTTTTGCTGAGAATGATAGTACGAATCGACCGCGTACAGGCTGTTCCTGAACCGATTTTTCCCATAGAAATTCGAGGTAACGTTCTGCAGAATAATTCAGAAAAATTGATATTCTCGGAATAGATATTGCTGAACCTTTCCCCAATCTCCTTTCCGTACCACATATTTGACTTTCCTACATACGTACCACTTGGGCCCTGCATGAAGCACTTTTCTATGGTTTCTGAAATCCCCGCCCTGGCGGAATGCACTTGAATCAAACTCCTATTAAAAAACATTACTAGCCTGTAGAGGTTCAGCCTGGGAAGAGACCCGATTCGCCAGATTGGCCAGTGAAGGCGTTGTGTCTGAAGTTTTTGGTCACACTTCAGTACCAGGGTCAAGGTTTTCGATGAACTTGACGGGTTCTATATTCGCGGAGGAGGAGGAGTCGTTTCGATATTGGTTAGTTGACCGCTGAAGCTTGCTTTCCAAAAGAACTGATGGTGGCGAGGGCAGATGCGATAGAAAATTTTTGGGGAATTCAGCAACTTAAATTTCATTCTTACTGTAGCCGCCCTCCTTGAAATAAATTTACCCCACCTCCCTCGTCTCTGACTTAACGAGAGGACATCTGGGAAAGTAGAGTTGAAAGATAAGGGGGGGGGGGGCAGAGAGTAAATGGTCAGGTGATCTCAGAGGTGGGTAAAACGGTTATGCTTGAAAGCTTTGCCTACAATTCTGCTCTACGCTAGAATACAACCGCAAAGCCTAAAACTGGCTCGAATGACCGTTCTAGGCCTACTTCACAAGTCAATCTGTAGCTACCCCACCCACACCACTGGATTCCAATTTTAGCACGTACGGAACGCTAGGACGTGCCCTCCTAGAAAACCCAAGCAGCGATGAAATTCCCCACAATTTGCGTACTCAGTGAGACTCATCGAGTCGAAAGCGTAACTAGTACTCTTATAACGTTTAATGGCAACAAGGCCATGAAAGAAAAAACTGGAACTAACTCAGTATCGGAGGAGTCAAACGAGACATTTGCCCAGCATTTGGCAAGGAAAAACGCATCCGATGGGCCACGTTCGAAGAGTTCCGTGAGCAACTTTGGGTACTTTTCGATTACCGTATCCAGTTTGAGCGTCTAAAAACACAGTTTTGGTTGTAGGCATTTACGTGCTTCCCTTTCAAATCCACAACCCGTTCTTAATGTCGGGAACCCTTCGTAAAAGGGCGCTAAAAAAGGCCTAAGAAGCGCTCACCTCAGTCTCGACGACATCTCGGGGAATACTAACAATATCGACACGAGGGCCTCCATGTGGCGATTCGAGATAGCTGTAAACGAAAACGTTGAGGAGAACTCGCCGACTTGTGTACCACGACAACTCGTCCAAATGCGAAAGGTGAACTTACGCTTGGAATCCAGTAAGTCGAAGCTTGGACGAAGCAATACCGTCGGCGGTTTTCTTGGCGACTGCGGCAGCTGCAGCGGCAGCAGCGGCGGCTGGCGGTGGCACAACCGCGGCGGCGAACGGCAACGCGAATTCTGGTGCCATACTGAAAACGGGACGAGTTTGTAGGAGCTCTTGAAAAGGGGCGGGGTCACGGGAAAAGTACTCAAGCACAACTTTTCTGCACTAAAGTGCAGAGAATGCTTCCTGTTCACGTTTTAAAACGTACCTCTGGGTAAAATAAAAGTTCAAGAAAATTTCTATTGATTTATTGATTACTCCGTTCTTTTAATAGCTCTGTAATTTGCAGGAATTCACGAGATCTCTTGCAAGTTGCAATTTCTTCATAGCCCCTTGGAATTGCTTTTGTGCAAGAGGTGCACGGTTTTATTGATGTTGAATTGGTCGACGGGTTTTTTCGGCATTCACCTCAATAGCACTACTTAAGCGCGGTGGATGGCGGTTGAGTACCGTCCGAAGACCTTGGACAGCTGAATGAACAACGCGTGGCGGCTCTCAGCGAGACGTGAGGACAATGATTAACAGCTGGTAATCGATTGAGTACGTGAAAATTGGTGTACGGTAGTTGATGAGGATCGTTGGAAAAACCTTACAGGGTTAAAGGACGTAGAACAGTCCGGTAGAACCGCATAAGTACGCAGTAAGGGCGATACTAATAGAGCCTACCCTACCCGAATGATAATGTTTGAGTATTGAACTTAAAAATTTCCACAACAAGGGATTTAGCCCCTTATTTGGTTTAGCTTGGAGCGGAGCCAAATAAATATTTAAATAATTGAAATGTTACTGTGAGAAATCTAGCGCTTCAAGACTCCCCCCCCCCTCATTCTAGACTTCCAGGCTCAT